GGGGTCTGCCGCTCCGGAGGGCCCTGGCCCGGGGTCCCAGGCCCTCCCTGTCCCTCGGGGCGCCCGGGCTGGAAGTGCTGGGCCTGGCCTTCTGCCAGCTGCTGGCGGTGACAAGAAGTGAAGGGACACAGAGGACAAACAAAGTTGGGTTCTGGAGACCGAGACTGTGGCGACTGCCAGGTCACAACTACCTCCTGCTGCCACCACCTGGCCAGAAGACCTGGAAAATCCACCGCTGCTCTCCCCCAGGCCCAGGCGGCTGTGCACCTGGCAGGTGTGGAGCCAGCGCGAGTGTGTTGGTCCATTATCTCGGGCCCTTCCTATGGTCCTGGCTTTATGAAGGGTCTGGGCCCGGGTGTGTGTGTGTGTGTGTGTGTGTGTGTGTGTGTGTGTGTACGCATGTGCACCCAGGCTTGTCCTCTCAGAGCTAAGTCCTCTGCCACCCGACCTTGCCAAGGGTGCCCGGCACAGGGGGAGAGGAACCCGGCAGGTAGAAGGCAGAGTGGCCCTGGATGGGCACCTCACCATCTACGTACGTAACAGATGCCATTGCTGGGCACTGAGTCGTGGACAGGAAGCCCTGGAGGGCACAGAAAGTGTGCTCCCTGGTCCCCTTCCATGCCCAGGCAGTGACGGGCTCTGGAAGCAGGACAGGGTGTGAGGGCCAAACCACACACTGGGCACCCACTGCCAGCTACCAGGCAAACAGATACCCAGAGCCCTGCCGGGAGCGCTGCCCACTGGATACCCCCAGGGTCGGAGGGAGGTGGCGGCGTCACCCGAGCTAAATTCAGTGGCCAGTGGCTCAGTGATGGGGTGGGCACGGCTCTGCCAAGCCCCACTGCTGGGTGCCACGCTCACCCGCCCCTGTGCGTGGGGGCTTTGCCGACTGAAGGGTGAGGCGGGTGTGGAGCGGGGTGGCCAGGGTGACAGGAGCACTGGGGTCAGGGCAAGGGAAAGGGAGAATTGGGCTGGGTCACCAGTGTCACAGCAGGAGAGGGAGGCCCAGAGCAGGGAAGCCCTAGGAAGTCAGCAGCAGAGTTGGGCCCCCGCAGGGCTTAGCGCCCCCCTTTCCAGATGAGAACGTGGAGCTGGGAGAGATACTGGGACTTGTCTGGGAGCCTGGGGCTGCAAGACAGAGGCAGGCTTGGCCATGGGGCGGCGGGACCAGCGACAGGACCTCCCGCGGCCACGTCCAGGCAGGGATCAGGTTGGTGCCTGTTTCCTGGGGGCTGTCGTCACAAGGTGGTGGCTTCCAGCAGCTGACTCCTGCTGTCGCTGTCCTGGAGGCCAAGAGTTGCAAACTAAGGGGAGCTTCGCCCTGAGAATCCTTCCCCCTTTTCTTCTGGTGTCTGCTTCCAGAGCTCCTGGGCTCCCAGCTCTGCCTGTCCTCGCTGTGTCCCCACGCCCTTGCCTCTGTGTGTAAGGACACCAGCCCCGGGGTCAGGCTGACCTCAAAACCCTTTGCTCTCTTGTCCCTGCAAAGATTCTTTTGGTCACAGTCACAGGCAGTGGAGGGTAGGATGCACATACCTTTTGGGAGGACTTCACTCCAGCTCCAGAAGTCTCTTTCCTCCCCCTCCACAGGGTCAGACTCCTCCCGTTATTCCCGGCTTTGTCACCTCCTTGTCTCAGGTGCCTGGACAGAGGTGTCACCTCCTGAAGAGGCCAGAGCATTGAAGACCCAGTGGGGAGCCCGCCTCTTTCCTACCATCTGCATAGCCTGCCCTGATGGCAGCCAGACACCACTGTAGGGACAGAGGACAAACACACGCCAGGCCCCTTAACCTGTCACTCACTAAAAGCATGATTTGTTTTTTCTTCTAAGATAGGGAGTTTATAAAAGCAGTTTTTGCTAAAAACTGTGACTCTTAGCCAAGCATGTAATCCTGGCACTTGGGAGGCTGAGGCAGGAGGATTGCTGCGAGTTTGAGGCCCACTTGGGCTACACAGTGAGTTCAAGTCCAGCCTGGAGTACATAGGGAGGCCCTGTCTCATTAAAAAAAAGAAAGAAAGAAAGGAAAAAATTCTCTGGGACACTGATGTGCACTGGGGTGGGACCTCTGCCTTCTCCGTGCATGCTCAGTGCCAAGCCACCATCCATGCTCCCTTATCATGTCCCCTGGTGCCGTGAGCCCAACACACAGCAAGGACACAAACAACCAAGTGGGCTGAGGGACACAGGTCTTACCCAGAAGCAGCAGTAATGCAGTTGCGCTTCCTTCCTGCATCTCTGGACGCCGCCAGTGCCTCTTGCTCCCTCTCCCCACCTGAGCCTGTGGGGAGCGCTGCTGATGCTGGGGCTGAGAGACCCCGGAGGATGGGGAGGAGGCCACACCCTGCAGCCTCTCCCTCTGCTCCGTGGGAAGCCACTGCCGCGCCTCAGGCTCAGGGCAGCCTAGGCAGAACTTGGCTGGCCTGGAACCCTCACCCGCCTCTCCCCAGCAGCCCCACACCTGAGCGCGGAGCCCAGGGAAAAGGCCTCCTCAATCCAGAAGCTGCAGCGAGGTCCCTCATGGGAGGAAGCACGGAGCAATCCGTGTGTCCGGCTGTCAGCTTGTGGGGAGCACAGTGTGGGTGTAAAAGTGCACCGGGCAGGAAGGAGGTGTGTGTGTGTGTGTGTGTGTGTGTGTGTGTGTGTGTGTGTGTGTGTGCAGGAGCTGGGGGGAAACCAGGAAAGGAACAAAAAGAGAGGAAAACCAAAATGCTCACTTCAGAGTTGTGGGGAGCGTGAGTGATTTTTGGTTTTGCTGGGATATTGTTTGTGCAATAAATATTTGATATGAGTGGGTCATAATAATTAGTGTGATTAGGCCATGTTCAGCACTGAGCTTTGTTTTTGTTTTTGTGTTTTGTTTTTGCTGGGAATCAAACCAAGGGGCTCTCTAGCGCTGAGCTACCTCCCCAGCCCCTTTTATTTTTTTTGTTTGGAGGGAGACAGGGTCTCATTCCGTTGCCCAGGCTGGGCTTGAACCTCGATCCTCTGGCCGCAGCTCCCCCACAGCTGCTTTTCCGGAGAATCTGCATTTGAAAGAAGCCGGAGCTGCAAACACACAGGATTCAGGCCAGGGCGGCAGAGCTTTTGGGGGAGCTCCCCTCCCACCCCGCAGCCCGCCAGACCGATGGAGTGTGGGATGGGCCTGTGGGGAGACTACATGATCTCAGGCTCCAAGCCTCACGTTGGCCGGCGTTGCTGTGCTCCACAGTGAGAAGGGCCGTGGTCCGGCCAAGCTGCTACCAGAGACCAAGGGTCGGTTTCGTAGATCTTGGGACCCAGGACATGCTGCCTCAGTGGCTGCAAACCGGAAGAACCATGAAAAGGGCAGAAAGAGCCGGCCTGGTCAGGGGCCTCTCCCTGCCGCCCTCAGCTCCCTGCTTTCAGCGGCAGGCTGCACGGGGGACACCAAGGCCGCAGGCACCGGACTATCCTGCAGCCCAGTGGGGTGGTAAAGACCTGTCCCCACCTGGCTCAGGAGGTGGCAGAGCTGGGAGTCGGAAGTGTCCCTGCAGGCTCACCAGGGAGAAGCTCAGGGTGGCCTGTGAGCCCTGTGCCAAGTCTGGTCCGCCGTGTGAAAGGCCCTGTTCACACAAACACGGGAGGGGTGATGGTGCCCTTCACTTTAGCCAGAGGGTTTAAAGCACATCAGTAGGCTTAGTGTGGCGGTGCACACCTGTAATCCCAGCATTCAGGAGGCTGAGTCAGGAGAGTCCAAGGCCAGCCTGGGCTATGCACTGAGACCTTGCCTTAATAACGCAGAAAGAAAAAACAAAACAAAACGAAACCAGCCATAAAAAACAACGCTTTCTAGGCTCTTGCTGCAGGCCAGCTGCCAAGCTTCGGGGGCTCAATCTTTCACTGAATCCTCACCAAACCCTGAATCTACCTCAGTCCCATTCCACAGGTGGGAGAGCTGAGGTGAGACCTGTGCCAGGTGGCAAAGCTGGGATTCAAATCAGGACTGGTCCAAAGTTTGTGCCGTCAAGGGCAGCACTGGGCTGCTCCTCTTAGCAACCAGAGGGAACGATCTGATTGCTCCTAGAAACACATGTGCACAATTTCCCCCTGAGACCCATCCGCTCTGAGGTACCCTATAGCTAGCGTTCAAAATAGGGTTCCTGTTCACCTCCAGTCAATCTGCAGACTTCCATGGGCAAAAATGATGAATACTGAGATAGTGATAGCAGTAGGCTCTGTTGTTGTTGTGGTTGTTGTTTGAGGCAGGGTCTCACTCTGTAGCGCAGGCTGATCTCAAACTTGTGGAGAACCTCCTGCCTCAGCCTCCCTACTGCTGAGATTACAGGCGTGGGCCACCATGCCCAGCAGGATCAGGCATCTTGTCAAGTTTGTGTTATGGTCAAGGCCGAGTGCCTCTGGTCCATTTCGT